TAAAGTTCATTGCCTCTGGTAAGAGGAGCCTTTTAACATTTAAAGTTTGTTACTTTTGGTGAGAGGAGCCTTTTAATATTTAAAGTTCATTGCCTCTAGTAAAAGTTACATTTTTGAATTTAAAGTTCATTGCCTTTGGTGAGAGAAGCCTTTTAACATTTAAAGTTTGTTGACTTTTGTGAGAGAAGACTTTTGAATTTAAAGTTCGTTGCCTTTGGTCAGATGAGCTTTTTGAATTTAAAGTTCATAGCCTTTGTTTAAAAGAGCCTTTCAAATTTTCTTTAAAAAAAAAATTATGTTAAATGTTTCATCTTTTGTATTTGTTTGCCTGAACAAAATTGGTGTCTTTTTTATCTTTGCTTTATTCTTGATTCTCATAAATAAGCAAAGAGGGGCAACTGTAAGCACCAATTTTGTCAAATATAATTTTGGTTTATATTATTATTATTATTATTAACCTTTAAAAAAAGTAAAAAAAAAGTCAAAAAATTTTTGTTTCAACTTTGGTAGCTGAAATTAAGCTGCCAAAATGGTTCATTTTTCTTCCTGACACTGCCTAACTTGGCAGTATGAAATTCCGGTGACCAAAAATCATCGGACAAGATCCAAATTTTTCACAAAAGATCCCAGAAGATCTGGGATTTTAAATCCTAGAAACTCTATAAATAGAGCTAATCTCTGTAAAAAAAATCACACAGAGAGAAAAAAGAAGGGAGGGGAGCACACACAATCAAAGAGAAAAACCTACAATCACAGTCCTCTTTGACAGAGGAACCAACAGAAAACACAAAAAAAAAATTTTCCCGAGAATGAAATTCTCGATCTAGGAAGTTTGAGATTTTCTTTGAAAAATCTGGTTTTAAGAAAGTGTTTAGAAAACAAAAAGATTAATTTGAGAATTTTTGGAAATTTTTTGAAAATTTTTTGGGTCACCAGAATCTAGGAAAATTTAAAATTTTCAACGACCATTTGAAATTTTCAACTACTGAAATCTAGAAATTTTTGAATGTTTAGGCACCGGTTGAGGTTTTTAACCACCGGTGCATGACAACGAGCCAAAAACTGGGCTTCACGATGGCTGGCAGAAGGTTGATTTTTTTAGAGAGAAGAGCTCTGGGTAGAGAGAGAGGGGGGGGAAAAGAAAAATTATAAAAAATTGAAATAGGCTTTTTATGGGCCCTTCAAAATGACACCGATTTGGACGTCTAAACCTAGCCCGACCTACATAGGATCCGCATGTCAACCGGTGAGCTAACCTGACCCGTTTCGCAGGTTTTCCCCTTTCTTTTTCTTTTTATTTTCTGTTTTGATTTTGATTTTGATTTATTTTATGTTGAGTTTTATGTTATTTTTTATGTTATTTTTATGATATTATTGTTATTATTATTATTGTTATTTTATATTATTACTAGTAATAATATTTTAGAAACAAATAAATAAAGTGAAAAAAACAATATTAAAATAAAATATTGACCTACAAAATATGATATGCAAAAAAAAATTAATAATAATATTTATTTAAGGAAAATAAAATTTTATTGCAAGCAAAAATGTTATTTCAATTTCACCAAAGTGTTGGGATAATTTAAAATATAATTTTTGCTAAAGAAAGTGATAAATAAAAAAGGTAAATAAAATAAAAAATAAATTGTTTAATTGAAATTTTCAAATGTAATTTTTAAAAAAGCTGAAAAGGTTTAATTTTTTTTTATTATTGCAAATAAAAATAATTTTTCAGATTTCATATAGAGTTGAGATAATTCAAAATTATTTTTACTAGAATAAAGATTGATTTAAACAATGTAAAACAATAATAAAAAATAAAAAAATAATAATAATTGATACCTTGAATAAATTTTTAAAAAAAAATAAGAAAATTAAAAAAGTTCTATTTTTTTCAATCCAAGTAAAAGATTAATATTTAGATTTCATCGGTGAGTCGTGATAATCTAAATCTTTTAATAAAAAAATTAAATAATAAATAATTTTAAAATAATCATAATAAAGATTAATTAATTAATTAATTCCCTTAACTATAAAAAAATAATTTTTATTTAGGATCTTGTAAAAAAGTTAAAATAATCTTAAAACTTGTTTAAAATTTTAAGATTTCACCGAAGAGTCAAGATAGTTTTAAAATTTGTTTAATAAATTTTGAGAACTCACCAAAGAGTCAGGATGTTCCTAAAATCCCTTTTAAAATAAATAAATAAAATATTTTATGAGGAAATTTTAAGAATTTTGTAAATGGTCAATTTTTTGAAATATTTTTTAAATAGTGATTTTCTATAAATTCTATCAAAGTTTTAGAGAATTTATAGAATACGAAATAATAATAAATAATAATGTTCATTTCACAACAAAAAAATATTTTTTAAAAATAAATTTTAAGAAATTAAATTTAAATATAAAAAGATTATATCATTAAAATTAAAGGATTACACATGTTTAATTGATATTGTTCTTCGAACAGGTAACGTTAGGGTGTTAATACTTTTTTCATTCGTAATTGTACTTTCGAATTTAATTTTGATTTCGTAAATTTAAATTTTTTTAATAAATCTTAATTAATTTTAAAATTTTTACTAAAAAATAATATTTTTAGATGATCAATTATATCTTATAAAATAATTAATGATAACTTCAAAAATTTTTACAAAATCTAACAATCGGGTTCCTCTCAAATAAAAAATTGTGTTACTCTCAAATAAAAAATCGTTAGATGGAATGTTAATAAAAATAATTGTACGAAATAGCTTTTGATAGGTGGGCTGTCTACATAAGTTTGGTCTACTATGAAATGACTTGTTGATGAACGTTAATGAAAATAATTGTACGAAGTAACTCTTACCAGGAAGGCTGTCTCCGTAGGCGAGTATGCATGACGGGCGAGGAGCCTAGCTAGGTGTCAATCCACCAATCAAAGACTATATCATTTGACCTAATTGATAGGCAATTGATCCTAACAATTACCCCAAGACTGGGAGATTATAGAGTGATTACCCTCAGAGACTACCCTTTAGATGTGATGTCGTATCGAGTATGGTTTGGTAAGCTTGCATGAGTGACATGTCTATTTTGGGTGTGGCCCTTAGACCTTCGTATAGATGTGACGTTGTGTCGAGTATGGGTTAGGGCGAGCGGTTTACTGTGGCGAATCTTTTGTGATGATGCGTATTAGAGCACGCCTTGATGGCATTTTCAGTGGACTTAGACCAACATGAATGGATCATCACTGCATAATTTCTTGGTACGTGATCGCTATAGCCGCCCTAGTGAACTAGGTTAGTGGCACACTGTGACGAGTATAGTGTGGGTTCGCAGAGAGGACTCATTCAATGTGTACGTCAGAGCAAGAACAAATTCCGACATTTATTGATCGTACTTCTTTCCTGTAAGTCTGAACTAATTTCATCTCAACCTCCAACTCATCTTCACCCAAAAAACCATTTAAGATATTTCTATATGTACAAAACTATTAAATGCACTGTTGGTCTTTAATTTTATTAGAAACGTTTTAAAATTTTACTAGTATTTCACCAGATTCCAATTATTGTAACTATCAGAAACAAATGATGGATGCTCATTAATTATGAGTTAAATTTTTTGAGTACTTCATTATTACATATTTTCTGTTCAAACAAATTCATGCATAACACTTGTGTTAAGGATATATATTGTTATATGTGCAATGATCATAAGTGAAAACGAATTTTTTTTTTTTTTTTATAAACTAAATCCGAAGATTAAAAATGATTACAAAAGTTCGGTTTTGTATCTCAAAATTTATTAGAGGTGATCGTAAGAGTGTCAACCAATTCTTTCGGTTTGTCTCAAAGGAGTTATTGATCCTTAAGAGTGTCAACCAATTCTTTCGGTTTGTCTCAAAGGAGTTATTGTTCCACTTTCTTTCCAATTTCCATGTGATACCTCTCACGTAATATCTTCAAATTGTGGTTTTGTATCTCAAAATTTATTAGAGGCGATCGTAAGAGTGTCAACCAATTCTTTCGGTTTGTCTCAAAGGAGTTATTGATCCTATGTACAATTGTTCCACTTTGTTTCCAATTTCCATGTGATACCTCTTACGTAATATCTTCAAATTGCGGAGCCCAGTACATTAATTTCCAGCTCTTGTCGCATTCTTCCATGCATGCGTTGATTTTTCTTTTTTGTTTTTTAATGAGAATTTTAAAGTTTATAAATTGTTCAATCTTTTAAAATAAAATAAAATATATTATACCGATAATTTAAGATAAGTAATTATAATTCATGCATACAAAATAATTTCAACAAACGATTATTTACGAGATTCGAATTCAAAATCTCTTCGTTAAAAAAGACGAATTTTAATAAATTGAATCAATCACTTATTAATCATACATTGATTGTCAAAGAAAGGATTGGTGGTTCATACCATAAAATTCATGTTCCTATTATTACTCATTAGTGATGAAACAGTGAAATGGAAAGAAAAAGGTTTCAGGGCTGTTGAGTTGGATGGACTAAATGCTACAGATATGGAACATTTTAAACTTTGTTCTGATGATCTGATAAAAACGATCTAAATCTTCATACACATTGAACTGATTCTTAATTGTTATCTAAAGACATTTTTTGTGTAAGGAAACTATGGTTAATACTTAATTTTCACGATGAAAATGTAAAAATAGAAATCTGCAGGAGAATCAATGTTGACAGAATCAAATCCGTTAAATTGCTAAAACTTTAGGTGATGATATTATGATACTATTGGATCTATTTTTTTTTTTTGGGAAATAAAACAACTGCGATCTAGAGTTATAGAAAGAAGTTACAAGTATTAAAATTTAAATCATAAACTCGTTGAATGTAAATATGCTGAATGCCATGAATCAATTGACTTAAGTTTCGGATTCCACCAGATTCTATTCTATTATTATCACAATATAGTGCAAGGGCCTGGATAGGGATCATGCACCACTGTAAAATATTCCAGCTTGAGGTTGTGGACAGCATACGATTAGAGTTTTCTTGTCTTCATCTTTCTTCGGATCTTCAGCCTTTTTGTCTTTCACTTCTTCCACTGTCTCCAAGCTTGCATGGCAAAGCTTTTTTCTCAAGGAACTAGTCAAGCAGACTGCATCAACCTCATCACCAACCATCATCAATTTGTCTTTCTCTGCACCATGTAATGCCACTGATATCACACCTATGCCATTAAGCAAAAAAAAAAAAGTTCAAAACATCAGTCCTTGGAGAAATTAATTTCTTTTGTTGAATTAATATGTTCTGATCATAAATTAAAATTTGGTAGATTAAAATGATATTTAATAATTTTAAATATGATACGATGATATGACATATTTAGTTTTTTTCTTTTTGCTTTTAATGAGGGTTAAGTTTAAAGAGAGGAAGCTGGGATCCCTTTAATGCAGCAAGCACAACTGGCCCAGTCTAGAACCCTTTAGGGCATGCTCTTTTTCCATGGGTAAAAGTTAAAAATCATGGAAATGATTAATTTGATCATTAATTATATAATTTGTTGGTAAAAAATTAAAATTTTAATTTTAACGATAAATATTTAATTTTTGATTATCTTAAATATAAAAATTATTAATCTGGAAATGGTAAACAAATTTATTTTTATTTTTATTTGACATGTGTTTATAATTTTATTTTTTTTAATTAGTTTGCTCTAGTGAAGTTTTTACATATATTGACTACGAAGAGTTAAAATTGCTTTACAAAACATCCATTGAATGAAAACCACATTTCATCATGAAATTAAAAAAATCACATAATTTGAACAATAACTTGTTGCCTTATTAATTAGAATTAAATTAAAACTTTAATATTAATATTTTTGCCGGTGACGCCACGTCTCTTTATGAGTGCTGACGTCACTGCCGTTGCTGCCTTTCCTCTTCCTCCTCAATCATTGTATTACATATATATATATATATATATATATATATATTAAAGCTTTGAAAAAAAGAAAACCACAAATTAAATATTTTTTAATTTAATGAAAGGGAATATTTAAATGTAACTTTTTTTCAAATAAAGCTTACTATTGAATCGGATATAATAAGTTAATTGATTAGGTGATAAATATTTTTACTGTGCTTTTATTTTCCAGCATTTTCAATAAATAAAAAAGAACAAAAACATATACCAAATATAAATAGCTAGATAAAAAGAAAAAAGAAGAAAAAAATATAAATAACATAATAGGTAATTAAAGGAGTAAAAAGTAAAAACATGTAAAAGAATTAGTTGGTGATCAAGCTATACTCATCAGAAAACGAGGTGACCCATTGGTTTTCATCCTCAATTCTCTTTTCTACACTTGCTCTAGATCCCTCACACCGCAGGTTTATTCAACTGCAATATAAAGCAAAGTACAGTACTTATTCTTTCGGTATTTATTCTTCAATCAGAATTTGAGGAGATAGACCATTTCCCAAAAGCGATAGTTACAAGCTTTGATCCAATAGCTACTGGAGGTTGAGTTGCCCCAAGCTTTTGGCCCAAAAGCTATTTTGGCATGGATTTCTAGTTGAAGATAAGATTGATTTATGCTAGTAAAGAGGCCCGGCTATGCCCCATTTTTTATAATAATTTTTTATATTTTATTAAATTGATATTTGTTTGAATTAAAACTTTGAGTGATATGTATAATTAGTATAAAGTTATAATTTAAGAGAAAATTCACATTTATGATTAAATATCTCGAATATTCCCTTCTCGAACTACTTTTTTTGCACATTGAATTGCTTGATGTAATGTTTAACTGCACATCAACCGATTGCAAACTCATGGTGTCACTTGAGGGTGGAATGAATGACATTTCATTCCTACAACCAATAGATGGAATTTGGCCACAGTTCTATAGAGACAAAGAAATCTTAGACGAGATCTCTGAGAATGCCCCATCAGAAGAAGCTTAGTTCTGATATATTGTTGAGTTACCCGGATCGGAAGATGATCCAAGATAAGAGACAGACTTTTGGTGCCCCAGGTAACCAGTAGATAAATTTTCTCTTCATAGCCAAAACTTGGGTAATAAGTAGCCATTATTTGCTTCCTTATGTTTAGCAGCAAAGGAATGATAAAGCATTACCAATTTACTAGTCTGCACAAATCAAATGATTGCTAAAAAATGGGTACCTCCCATTAATATTGATCCTGATCAAACAAAAAAGCATGATAACATATATCAGAGATCTTTCAAAGTCCCAAATTCGAAGGCAGATATTTGCATCATTGTTCTTAGCTCATCTAATCTCTGCCAAAGAATTTAGGATTCAAAGAACCAGAAACACCACAACAGCCATGTACAAATGACGGTAAAAGAAATTAGTAATCAAAATCACTGTTCAAATAAAACCAAGTAGCATGTTAAGCAGGACACGAAGATAAATTTTTTCATCATAAACCAAACTAATTTAACCATCATATATATATATATATATATAACTAAACTAAATTAATCTCTTGTTTTCAAATTAAATTCAGGTTTGAATTAAAAGTTACAACATAGACACTAATATATTTTTGTGCAAGAAAGATTAGAAGCATACAATGGTTTAATCAATTAGCTTTAATAAAAATAATTCAAAAATCTTGTGACCTTCCCGTTTTTTATCGTATCTTTAAAAAATGTCCACTCATAACTAAATAAGTTCAACTTAGTGAACTAAATAGATATAACTAAAACATGAAAATACTTATTCAAATGAATATAACACAATCCATCAATCTATAAAGAGTAAAGGATCAAAGATAAAAGACAAATATCTTAATCCAAGAAGCAAAGTTAAAGATTTTGTATCTTTAGAAAACTAAAACGAATTGATCAAAATAAAGAAAAGAAATGTAAAGAATATGCAATGAGATCAAATCTCTGAAGCTAACAATAAATTTCAACCAAAACCCGGAAAATGAATTCAAAATCCATGGATAATTAATGTATCTTAAATTCCATACTTAATGGTGTATCACCATAATTCATCCCTCCCTACATTAAATCACATAATTCAACAACCAAAAACAAAAACATAAGATAAATCATATACATATCAATACATATAAATACTCGTATTAATTTTAAACTCTATTAGAAAAGTTAAGGAATTGTCACATATTCCATTAAAATATATTAAAAAATTGATAAATTAATATAATAAATAACAAAACCTGACAATATTTTAACTTTACTTGTGGAGTTTAAAAACTCCATTGAAGATGTATGGTATAATATTCCATAAAAAATAAGACAATAAACCCAAATCAACACTATCTATATATTTTGTTTTAAGTCAATGATCATTTCACATATTGGCAAAATCACTTTACAACACAGAAAATGTTTGCTGAATTTTTTACAAAGTTTTCTTTCGAGAAATTCATTGACTTGAAACTATACTACATACAGGCCTTTGTGGCTATTTCCACACAGAGTAGAATTCTAGATAGATTTCATAGCATCATTGATTCAAAGATTTAGTTCACAAAACCTAGTTATCATAAAATGCAAGAAGTTGCTTTACATGAGTATGCCTAGCAGCAACATTTTGTCCATCAACTATAACCCAATCTACAACGATTGATGCATGTTGCTCCCACTTTTCTTTAAGGCATGGTAGAATGTTCAATCCAAAGGTTATATTAAAAGAAAATTAAAAGATAAATGCAGGACTCTCTATTTTCTCCTCGCCTCTAAATAAATAACTAAATATAAACGAATAAAGAGACATAGTTGTGGGAAGAATCATACTCTCCAATCAAACTATTAGTCTATCACAGCTCCCTACCTCACATCCCCACCCACAATTTCATTTCACACTCCTAACAAATCAACCATTTCCTTCATTTTTTTTACAAATAATGTTTAGATAAATTGCATATAAAACAAAAGAAAAGTAGAATGCCTAGCAAGAGGGATATGGATATGGCTAGCAAAATAATAAGGGTAGCTACTTACCAAGCCCTTCACATATTTGCAATCCTCAAAGCACTTTTGAGCATTCCAAATTGCAGTTCTAAGTTCAGGTAGCCAATTCTCTATTACAAATTTCTTTGGCTTAGCAACCAAATTCAAACAACAATTTCTTTTCTTGCATCATATGGCTAGAAAGGACATAACAAAAATATAATAATCAAATCCTCTAAGACTAGTCCATCTAATACTTTACAAAGTCATAGAAATTCTAGGATCTTTATATCTCTTCAAAGCAATAACATGAAGCCCTATATATATATATATATATATATATATATATATATATAAAGGAAAACATTTATTGATAAATCTTTTATGATCAAAGGCACATGTACATGATTATAGCATGAAGTCGATGACATAATGTACCACTTCAAAAAATAAAAGACATAACATCCTCTGTGCCTTAACTTCAATCAAAGTCATAACATGCAAATAGAAAAAGAAAGTGGGGTTCTAGCTCCTGGTGAAGTTCTTATAAAAGAGTGGAGTTTTTTGCTCTGTTGTGGTGCATGTGAAGATAGCTAAGAGGCTTTCACATGAGCTTAAATGGATTGTTCACAAATTGGTGATGTATTTCAATTTGTGTTGTTTGATTTAAACATCCTTTGAACAGAGTCACAGGCTTCCTTAATTTTTATCAGGGAGTCTTCTTTGTCTGCAAGTTGATCTTGTCTCATTTCATGGGGTTTCCTAATTCCTCTCTCTCTTTTGGGGTAGTTTCTGTGTTTCTAATTTTCTTTTCTTTTGTCTCCATCCTTAACAAAAGATCAAATTAAAACAAATACAAAGAATTACCTACAACATCTTGATTATCATAAGTGGCACGATACACTGTCCCATAGGTTCCATGAGCTATAACGTGCCATAAATCCAACTTAGCCAAATCAATCTCCCACTCCTCTACAGGCCTTTGGTTCTCAATTTTTCTAGACCAAACCTTACTCAGATGCTTCCCTAGTTGCATAACTAAGTTTTTTAAATCAATTTTATCAGCTCTAAAGATCATATCTTTGTTACTAATGCCTTTTATACCCTTAATCTTTGAATTTCCACCTCCTTATTATTCATCTGATTTCTTTGGTGTCTTCACACCTCCACCTTCCTCTCCACACGTCAAATCCATGCTCATAGAATAACAAAATCACCAACTAAAAACTTTAAAAAATAAAATAAAATAAAACCTAGGTTTAACCTATCTATTTATTACCTTAATCTGACATAAGCAAAACTGATTATGAAATTAAAGTAGAATAAAAGGAACAAAAAAGTATATCAAATATCAATAAAATAAAACAGATAAAATAATCTATAAATATGATAAGATATAAAACCCAGTTTTACCATCCCAATTCATATTAGAACTATATACAATATTGACCTTATAACCAAAATTTGTGTTATTTAAAAAAAAACTAAAATTGGCTTTTTATTTAGACTTGAAATAAATGTGAGAGTTCGTGACGTCTTTAACTTCGAACCCTTTGAAGCCCTTGCCAGAGAAGGGGATACCCCCAAAGGAAGCAGACTGAAAAAGAACCAAATTGAAGAAAAGTTAGATTAGTGAAGAGCTTACAAAAAGAAGAATCTTGATCTGTTGGGGTCAAAAATTGAAATCAAGAATCCAAGAAAGGAGATCGAGAAACCCTAAAACTGGTTGCAAAGTAAAAATGAAGATGCAGAGAAAGAAAAAAGAGGAGAAAGAAGGAAAAAGAATGAGAGAATGTCGTTAGAGGAATAGGTGAGTGGGACTATGTTGGTAACAGCTTGTCTCCACTCTTGTTCAGCCATCAAAACCACGGGAAGGGAAAAATCTATGGAAAGCAAAGAAAGACCAAACAAGTGCAAGTTTGGGGTCCTTTTTATACAAGGTAGTATAGATAATTACTTTTAAATAGAATATTTAATAAGTTTAAGATTTAAATTTATTATATATATATTTTTTATCTTACACAACTCATTTATAAAAAAAAAAGATAAATTCCAAAAGCATTAGTTACTCTTCTTGATTTTGAATAACTATTTGTAACTTGTGCCAATAATTCTCCACTTTGAGATTATTAATAGCTTGCTTTTGATTGGCACATTATAGCCACCTATGTTTTAATCACCATCTCAGAATATATTCTTAAATAAAAAATTTGAAGCCTTTTCTTTTTGCCATATAGCTTTGCATCAGCCATGATTTATTGACAGCTTGACAAAAATTATATCTCTATATCTAACCAATATGACATGGATTTCTAATGTTTACTATTTGACAACACTATCACCGTTGATATTTGAGATCATAAGTGAGAGAAAGCTCAAAAAAGTTGCACCCCTCAGTTCCTCTTTTTAGAGATCTTGCTAGGCTAAAATTAGATATTTTATAGTGTTCATTTGATAATTCTTGTATTTATAATATAAAATATTAATAATTCATGTATATATTTTATATTTTTATATGAAAGTAGTATGTTACAATTCATATTAATATTAAAAATATAATATATGTTTTTTGTTTTTGTTAAATCTATATATAATTTTTTGTTAAATTTTTTAATTATATCATTTTTATATATTTTTCGTATTATTTTTATGTTGTGTTTTTGTATTGTTAAACTTCGAAGTCCACATGAAGGACAATGTATAATGCATTCCAAGTACAATATTGCAAAGGACAATATCTAATTCAGACATGAAGAAATGTTTTTGAGATTCCAATTTTATTTAAAGAGAAAATGGGTGGCCTACCTTCATATTCTCAAGCACTAGAATTGTTATAATGTTATGAGATCCAAGAGTAAACAAGCTGTCCACCACATGATTGAAACTAGTTTTTTTCTTTTTGCTTTTAATTATAGGTTTAAGTTTAAGGAGAGGGAGCTGGGATCCCCTTTAATGCTTCAAGCACAACTGCCTCAGCCTAGAACCATTTAGGGCAATTTTTTTTATGGGTGAAAGTTAAAACTCATGGAAATGATTAATTTGGTAATTAATAGTAAGTTTATTGATAAAATATTAAATTTTTCTGAAGATAAAGATTTAATCTTTGATAATCTTAAATCTAACAAATATTAATTTGGAAATGGTAAACAAATTCATTTTTAGTTAAAATTTGACATGTGATAATCTTAAATTTTGACATGTGATTAATTTGGAAAGATTTATTTATAATGAGATTTTTATTCAAAAGAGTAAAATGTAGATACATTTAAAAAAATTAGTTGGTGATCAACTTTCACTACATTACTGCTGCAAGAAAGTTCTACAATGAAAATTTGAGGACAGACGAATTCCCGAAAGCACTAGTTGCATGCCTTTGACACAATGGCAACCAAATAGCAACTGGAGGTTGAGTTGCCCAAAGCTTTGGCCCAAAAACCTTTTAGTCATAGATTTCTAGTTAGAACTCCAATATGGCATTACTTGAAGTTAAATTTAGCTTGATTAATTCATATGATTATTTTTAAAGGTAACATTTGATAAGTTTAAGATTTAAATTTATTATCTGTAAATTTTTTTCTATCTTCAAATATATTCTCAAATAAAAAACTTGAATTCCTTGCTTTGGGCA